TAGCGTTGTTTGTGTTCAGGTGTGTGAGCTTCTGTTTGTGGGTGTTACCGCATCAACAAAACCCTTTTGTGAACAGTGTTGGTAACTGCTTTTGTGTTCAGCAAGGTTGTATGTACCATGGAACAAAGGTTTTATTCGAATCCTTGCCCACATTTTTTTTATCATTGCAGTAAGATCAATTTCACTGTTTTCTGAAGAAAAAAAAGGGGTTTTACTTGAACGCCAACCATAGATCCTCATACAAATATAAATTTCATTTTTGGTGGTACAACTCCAGCAGTATTAGCATGCATGCAGACAAGATGATGCTAAAAATCTGTTTTCTGTTGAGCTAGATTTGAAAAATTCTGTCTTCTCTCACAATCAGAGCTATCCTAATACGATTTTTGCAGTATGGCATCAGTCCTGATCCAGTTCATTTTGAAATCAGATAAAAAAAATGAGCATTTCTTTATTCCATAGAGGATTCCTCAGGTCACAGAGGCTCTGGCAGTCAGCCGTCCATGCCATGGCTCCGTTTCATTCAACATCTTGGCTGTTAACCTTAAGCCTGTGGTTGGATTGTGGGAACTGGCGCACTGTGACTTGGCTCATATCATAGACTGGCATGATGGCTGCTTGAGGTGAAGCATCAATTATTTTCTGCCACATTCTGTCTCCCCTGTGTTTATGGCAGTCCACAAGGATATCTGCCTCCTTGATTCTCCCACAGGATCCTCAGTGTGCGCTGTTCTGTTGTTTGTTGTCTGGCCAGTTTGTAAGGTATGTATGTATGTGTGTATGTATGTGTGTGTGTGTACATAACACTAACGCTTGACACAATTATTTTTACTTTACTTTACTTTAGTTAACACTGTTAATGGAGGCGCCATGCACAACCACTTTCTTTTATTTTCATATTTGTTTTATATTTTTTTAATAAAATATTTATTATTATTATTATATAACAAATAGAAAACATTATTATTTTTTTTTTATATATTTTAATTTAATTACATATTTTAATTTACCTGACATTAGTTTTTATCTAAAGGGAATTTTATAAATAATTTAAAAAAAAAGAAAAGAATTTGATTTCCTCCATCCCAATGAAGCAGCAGCGCTTCAAGACCCCATCCTGTAAATTCAAGAAATAGTTAAGAAAATGGGCATTTAAGAGGTTCTAACGCTGGGATAAGGAGACATGCTGACTGACACAACACATGCAAATGAGGCCTCTTGACATTAGTTTTTATCTAAAGGGAATTTTATAAATAATTTAAAAAAAAAAGAAAAGAATTTGATTTCCTCCATCCCAATGAAGCAGCAGCGCTTCAAGACCCCATCCTGTAAATTCAAGAAATAGTTAAGAAAATGGGCATTTAAGAGGTTCTAACGCTGGGATAAGGAGACATGCTGACTGACACAACACATGCAAATGAGGCCTCTATTTCTGTTGACACCCATCTAATGAGAAACGAATTTGGAAAATTAGGAGAGCAAGAAGAAATGAGCAGAGAAATACATTTGACAGTAATTGCCAACTGACATTTCTGCCCCGTTTCTCACAGAAACCCTTGAGAGTGAAGAATCAAAGTAATATTGAAGCCAGTGTATTGTAAACATACTTACAAGAGGAAGAGACCATTATGAACGGTGCATCTTGGGAAAACCATCCGTTTAATTTGACATTACAGAGCCAAGACGTTTTTCATTACCGCAGACATGCTGCATGCGTATGACTAGAAAAGTTGTTTAAAGATAAGTGTTGTTTAAAGATGAGATAAGTTTAAAGATATCTATTATTAGATACGTCAATGCATAGATGCTTGAGGTTATTGTTAATACATAAAGCATTTCCTAACATGTTTCTCTCAGTGTCAAGGTGGATGTTCTGTAACCTCTTTATAAAGAATGACTCCAGCGGCATTTCAAAGATGTCATCAGGTTATCTGAGACCCGAGCAGGTCATACTGCAGCTCTAATTACTATATTTGCAGCATATCAGCTTCTACAATACAGGTGACTCCCAGCGAAAACAGTTATAATTTAAGAGGGTGCGCTTCCAGCTCATCCTTGTGTGAAGTACACTATATTTTTCCAGATGATACCATTATGATGTTAGACCTCAAATCCAGGAAGATTAAGAACAGTTTTGTGGGTATAAAGAAAATATTACTTACAAGGCCAAGGCTTTGAGGATATAACGCAGAAGTACAGTGGGGAAAAAAAGTATTTAGTCAGCCACCAATTGTGCAAGTTCTCCCACTTAAAAAGATGAGAGAGGCCTGTAATTTTCATCATAGGTATACCTCAACTATGAGAGACAAAATGAGAAAAAAAATCCAGAAAATCACATTGTAGGATTTTTAAAGAATTTATTTGCAAATTATAG